TGAGCAATCAAAAAGTGAGGGCTTTAATCAGAGAAATGGCAAATTAGATATTTTTGTTCCTATTTAATAAGTCTTGTTAAAAATAGGCCTTTTGTTTTCAGTTCCCCTAGATCCTTTCTGGAAGCAGCTGGCAGATGCAGTCTATGATTTATATATTTATAAATAAAGTAATATATTCATAAATGAGTAAAAATCATCAAGCACAGTTTGACAAAGTCTCATCCAGAGCATGAGTAGGCAGGCCTGTCAGGGCAGTTCAAGACCCTGAAGACTGGTTGGCTAGTATGGACATTAACGCTAGGTTTGTCTAGAGGGTAGAAGCTATAGGGGGACAGAGTTTACCTTCAGGAAGCAAAGATTATCTAGCTGACTTTTCCCAAGGGCTACACCAATGGCTTGAGTTGGCCAGCCTGTACTGGTCAGGAATGGTGGTAGAAGGATGCTTGCAGGGGGAGGAGGTGGGTCAGGAATTTGCTTTCAACTCCAAATTTTATGATTCTTTCCAGACATTCATAACACCCAGACTAAATCTGGGTAGGTTTTCAAAGGGTCAGAGGGGTTCATGATCAAGAAAGAAGTAATACCAGTGGTGGGCCTCATCACAGTCACTAACAATATGTTTGCACCTCAATCGAGGTGGAATGGGAAGGAGGCATGCCCAAGGAAGAGCATTGCCATGCTTACTGATGCCGTATATCAAATTCGACTTTACACTTTCAGGTTTTATGTATAGGTTAACTATGTGCCTCACATTTTACCTCCCAGCTCCTCCCCACTGCCATTCAGTCACTTCGGAGTCATGACAATCCTAAGTGTGTTGCAGAGAACTGTGCTCCATAAGGTTTTCATGACTGTGACCTTTTCTTCTGAGGCTCCGAGTGGGTTCGAACTGACAACTGTTTGGTTAATTGTTGAACACTTAACTGTTTGGGTCACTCCCATATTATGTGGTTATTTATGTGCTGTGGAGTCGGTTTTGACTCACAGTGTTAGTAACCCAACTTGTAACCCAATGAGCTCTGGTAGCAGAGTGGTTATAAGTAGGGCTGCTAATCACACAGTCAGCAGTTTGAAACCAGCTGTTTGTTCTGTGGGAGAAAGATGAGGTTTTCTGCTCCTGTAACGATTTACAGCCTCAGAAACCCTCTACAGGGTCATTGTGAACTGGAACCGACTCCACGGCACACCACCACCACCACCACCACCACCATGCTACCAGATCTCCTTCCATGTTATACTGTTGTTAAGTGCTGTCAAGTTGGTTCCAACTCAGCGACCCTGTATAGAGTTTCCAAGTAGCAGCTGGTAAGCTTGAACCATTGACTTTGTGGTCCAAATCCACCTTGCAGTCCAGCACATTATTAACCTTCAGCGCCACACAATGCTGACTTTAATAGCTCTGTTTCACAGCTAAGAATTCCAAGCCCAGAGAGTGTTTCCTGTAGTCACTCAGTCTGTTAGGAGCAGAACCAGAGCTACACTGGGTGTTTCCTGACTGTGGGACAGAATGCTTTTCTCTACATGATACAAGACCCTGCACCATGCAGCCACAGGCTAGAGTCCCGTCCAGTCCTGCCACACTTCTCTTTTTTTGTCTGATAGACAGGAATCTAAGCATATCTTTTCAGAGTGTCATAACAATCCTCGACAACATGAAAAATGGAACAGAATAGAGGGAACAGGCTGGGAAGGCATCCCCCTCTCCCAGTTTCCTAGGAGAGGGCAGGTAAGAGCTCTGTGTGTGGGAAGAGGCCACCAGGTAGGCACCTGGGAGGCCTCTCAGTGACTCTTTCTGCTTGGCCTGACAGTGAGCTTCAGGCAATGGAGAGATTGAAGAATGCTGGTGTTATGAAGTAACAGGGAACACACTTCCAATTTTCATGTATGGGCATCTGGCAGTGTGGGAAAATCAGAACTTTATTGAAGCGAGAAGCACCAGTTGAAAGTTACATTTTGCCTCTGTGCATTTACAGTATTCAAGAAGAGACGAGATATGCCTCCTTATCTACAGTTCTCATATTGAAGAACCCTGATTTCTAGGATATCTATCATACCAGTATCATGTTTAAAAAATCTTTGTTCTAGAACTTGCTTCTCTCTACCACATGCACATACACACATTAGTCTTCGAAGTGCAAAATTCTGACAATATGAAAAAGGGAAAAAGCAATTGTGTATGCAACTGAAATCTTAAGGCTTCCAGCTGTCCTGCCCGACACTGTTATATGTAAAATGTTATATGTAATATGTAAATGTAATATGTTATATGTAAAATGTAGCAATGTAAAATGACTGGCAGTGGATATCTAAGATCCCACATCTGAATTAAACTCTCCTGGTGGAATTTGGGATTCAGCAGAGCATCAGCCCCTGGAAAAAGACTGGGAGGCAGAGTCCTTCCTTCCAAACTGGGCCTTGGAAGGAGTCAAGAATGTACTGTGATTAAAATTCTGGAGCCTTGTGAACAAGGACATTCTCTGTCTGTCCTTGAGTCAGTTGCGTCCCTGCCATGGCCCAAGAGGCCTATTTTTAAAGCAGTCAGACAGACCATTTGGGGGGGAGTTGGAGAACTGAGGGTTGGAAGTAATCAAAGTCAATGAAGAATAACCAGATATAGGCCAGATCCTACCATGAATGGACTTGTGAGATTTATTCCCTCCTCCACTTGAAAGGCTGGTCTACCAAGGTTGGTGAAGGCGCAGTGACTTGGGTTGATTTCTAGAACTTTAACCAAGTCCTCCTACCATTTGGGGAAACTGTACAAACAGGATTGAGGGGCCAGCTAAGCCTGGATTCTGAGGTGAGAGGATGTTATCTACAAACACAACTCTTTCCAAAGAGTGAGTAAACACACACATTTGGCTTGGGGCTGAGGGCCTGACCATCAGAGAGAAAACGACCCCCTACCAAACAGCATTTTTCTCTAAATGCCCCTTGAATTGAGACACAGTTGCTGGGTCTCCTGCGGTCTATTCTCTGTGAGGAATGTCTTCCCCAACTTCTCGGACAGAGCATTACCAATTGGTTCAGTATTAACCCTTTGCTAGACAAAGTCTTACTCTCTCTTTCTTCCCATACCACTCTTGCTATGGGACAAGTAGGTTGAAAAGTCACTAAAGAACTGACCATGCGCAGATGCTTCCTGTATGCACAGTGAAATCACCATCTCTTTATGGGCATGATTACTTTAGGAAAATAGCCCACTTCTTCACAAACTCTGGTAGTTTTACTTGGAATCTGTCCATCAAGACATTAGGTCTGCAGAGTCCAAAACAAGCTTCCAGAGAACTTTACAAACAAGCTGGCCCAGCAAGGCAGAGCCTCCTATGGTGTCTGCCATGGGCTCGAAGATCTGTGTTCCATTTGCCACATGGGGTGGGACCACACAGCTCAGATACGGTTTTCAACATCCTCAGTCTCCTTCCACTCACACTTCAGTACACAAGCAATGGTGGTTGATGGTGGTTATGTGGCGTGGAGTCAGTTCCGACTCATCCGGGCCTTTGTTGTACAGGGTTTCCGAGGCTGTAAATCGTTACGGGAGCAGAATGCCTCATCTTTCTCCTGCGGAACAGCCGGTAGTTTCGAACTGCTGACCTTGTGGTTCACAGCCCGGAGACCTAGCAAATTTCATGAATTGCTTGCTGTGTCTCCTGATTAACTCTCTAGAGTTTGATCTTCTCTCTGTGTCAGGAAAACGTATGAAATAAAGAATTTTGGAGGTAGAAATTAGACGGGAAACGTCTGCTTCTGGAGTGTTACAAGAGAGCCAAGCTATGTCTTTGCTAATTTCTTCCTCTTGCCTTAATGCAGACCTTTGGTTTCGATTTGATGTTCTTGGACCTGGTCTGAATGCAACGTGTGTGCTGGAGTGATGGACTTGATGTTTATACAAGCCATGCTGATAAGTGCACATGTGTTTTTAATATTTTGGTTTTCTACACCACAAACATGTCAATGTGTATATGCATGTACACACAGTCAGGCTGGGACTTGAATAATGAGGGTTTTTTTGGGTTTTTTTCCCCCTTTTTTAAACTATCCTCTCAAAACTGACACTTTTGTGAGCAGTATTCCCCACCACCCTAAGCAACATTCATGCAGTACTTCCTCCCGGTTGGTCCACCTGAAAAAGCGTATCCTTCCAAAATAGCAAATAGCTCCAACCAATCCTTCCCCCATCTTTGCGAAGATTGAGTTGGACTAGTTAGTGATTTAAAAGCAGACCTCCCTGTTCAGCCTTCCCCGAGCTCCCTTAGTCTGAAACTGCCTGCCTTTGTACTGCAACTACAGAGAACAAAACCGAAGAGGTGAGTTGCTAGTCTGGTGGATTGCTGCTTAAAATTCAGGAGGGAAAGTGGTTTTTTTTAGAAAAGGTCTTAATTATCTTGTGGTTTTGCAAGCGCTGTGAAGGTTCCTTGCTTTCCTGAAAGCTGACTCAAGTTAATTATAGCATTACACATTCTTTTTACCTACCCTTCACTTTTCTCTATTCCTCCTTTCTTTCCTGTTTCTTCTTTTTCTTTCTCTACCTTTTTCTTTTTTGGTTTTGTTTTTTAAGGGGTGTTAACCTGTGTTTAGTTCTAGTAAACCTAACCCTCTTGCAAGTGAAGCGATTGGTTAATTGAGCCGGTGACTGACGTGGTAAATGAGTGCGGCTCGCAGTTGCCGGGAGCTGATTGGCTGCGCGGGGAGACTCCGAGGGCTTTGCAACAGGAGCACGGGGCACTCGAGTCCTGCAGCCTCAGGAGTAGGTGCTGCGCGCCGCCCACACGCCCGCCGCGCGTCGGGAGCCGGGCCGCGACTCACACCGCGCGCTGCGTTCTCCTCCCTTCTCCGCGCGAGCTCACGCAGCGCGCTTGCGGCAGGCCAAGGTTCGCGACCAGCCTAGAGTGTGTGGCCGCCGAGCCCGGCAGAGTAGGGACGGCGCCTTTTGTCCCTGGAGATTCCTAGAAAGAGCCCCAGAAGTTTGCGGCGGGACACGCGCGTGGAAGCAGTCCCGACGTCGCGGGTGCGAATGCGCGGAACCAGTATGGGCAGCGGGAGCGGCATGGGGGGTCGCCATTGGGCCGCGTCCGGCGTGCTGCTGGCTCTGGCCGCCGGACTCCTGGCCGCGAGCTCGGCCAGCGAGTACGACTACGTGAGCTTCCAGTCGGACATCGGCTCGTACCAAAGCGGGCGATTCTACACTAAGCCGCCGCAGTGCGTGGACATCCCGGTGGACCTGCGGCTGTGCCACAACGTGGGCTACAAGAAGATGGTGCTGCCCAACCTGCTGGAGCATGAGACCATGGCCGAGGTGAAGCAGCAGGCCAGCAGCTGGGTGCCCCTGCTCAACAAGAACTGCCACATCGGCACCCAGGTCTTCCTCTGCTCGCTCTTCGCGCCCGTCTGCCTCGACCGGCCCATCTACCCGTGCCGCTGGCTCTGCGAGGCCGTGCGCGACTCGTGCGAGCCCGTCATGCAGTTCTTCGGCTTCTACTGGCCCGAGATGCTCAAGTGTGACAAGTTTCCCGAGGGGGACGTCTGCATCGCCATGACTCCGCCTAATGCTACAGAAGCCTCCAAGCCCCAAGGTAAGGCCGACTTCTGCAACCTGGCACCCGAGAGCCCCGGACCGACCAGTGCCTGGTGGGGCTACAGCTGAGGCTGCGGGACAGTCCCAACAACCCACTCTTCTACCCCATCGCTTCGCCCCGGAGTTCCGAGGTGCTACCTAAGATTGCTCTCCAGCCGTGCAGATGATTTTTTTAAAAGTTACTGGAGAAAGATGAGACTTTCTGCTCCCGAAAAAATTTAAAAAGCCTAGGAAAGCCTATACATGGTCGTTATGAGTCGGAATCGACTCCACAGCACTTAACAACAAGTCTGTGCGAGGTGTCGCTTCGCGCCTCTAGCGACCCAGGTGCACGGCGTGGCTGCCCTGGAGCGGCGCTCTGCCGTAGAGCTCGCACTCGGTTTTGTCCTTGAAGCAATTCTTTTTGGGATCCAGTCTTGCTTTTGCCAGGACTGAAACAAAGCCTTAATTCCCTAAGAGGAGAAGTTGCTTTTTCTCTGGGAAGGAAATCAAACCCTCGTCGAAGTTTTTAACACGCAAGCTTCTCTGCCCCTGTAGGAAAAAAGTCAAAACCTAAAGTGGGGAAAGGCTCAGAGAATGCTAGGCACGGCTTTATTTTCATTGATACAACTTTAAAAAAACTCTTTCCTTGGCTAGTCAATTCAGCCAAGTAGCTTCAGGAGTTAGGAATAAAGAAGTTTCCACACTGGGGATTATAGTCTCTCCACCCCTTTCAGGCTCCTAAATTCGGAACTCCGTGAGGGTTGGAGGATGCAAAACCTTTCTCATCCGAGCAGGCCCCCTGCTTCCCTCATTTACACAAATCCTCAGGTAATTAGAAAGATAAAAAGTGTAATTAGCTCATTGTTCCTCATCTCCTTGGGGAGTAGGGTTGAGGCTCTGAAAATTGGAGATTATCCTGCAGTCTTTGGGAAGGGCCTGTTAGCCCCCTCGGGTTCCCTCCCCCATTCCCATTTAAAGGGCAGTTCTTGAGTGGGTAGGAAACAGATTCTAGAGAGGCAAATATCACAGCGCGGTGATCTACCCTTTGTTGAGTGAACTCAACTTTCCATTCTTTCAAAGCAGAGTTTAGACTCCAAGATATGAACGTAGGGATGGGAGCGCCATACACCCCAGGTGCAGTTAGCGCCGAGGCTTGGATCTTGAGGGCTTTTCGGGAGAGTAATGGGGGGAAGGGTTGCTTGCTTAGCAAATCATCATGAAGGGTTCAGTGAGTTTAATCTTTCCTGTTATTGATGCCAAATGAAGAAATGCCCACCGCAGGCCTGCACAGCCACCTGGAACCCCTCAGAGTGGAGACAGGTGTGGGGAAAGGGGACTTTTGAAAGCTCTAGGGAGGGACGAGGAGAGTCCAAAGCACTGGGTATATTTTCCCCACTCCCAGGGGGGTGGGAAAGGCTGGCAGTGGTAGTGTCTGGGCATCTCTGCTCATGGTGCCCTGGATGTCTGCACAGGGTTACACTATGCTCGGAGAGCGAGAGTTCAGCAATTACCTAGAGCAAACAAAGAACTTTGTGTTCTGTCCCTGTGGAGCCATCCCCTGCTACCCCCCAGGATTTCCTTCTCCCTTTCTGGACCAGCTGGTAGATTAGTCCACCTGTACCCTGAGCGACTGGGGCCAGCTCTGCTTAAGCTAAGCTGAAGTCCACCTATAGTTGCCCTTAATTTTCTCTTTCTGGGATGGTCTATAGATAAGAAATGGATATCTTTGGGGATTCAGCTTCGGATATGGCTGGAAGGCCAAAGGAAAATTGGGGAACTAGATTGGGTGTCTAACTGTAAGAAGATGAATCTTTCCTGCCACCCAATCCCCCAAAAGACTTGGGTAAAGTGGGAGAAAAGCAAATAATTGCTGTCTTCTTGATGCCTTGGCATCTGTGCAACTGACCTTTGCATCTCATTAGTAGTGTGAATCTGGACCTTTGCACCATGCTTCTCTCTGGGTCGCTCCATCCCAGCGGTGCTCAGGTAACCATCCCTCCCAAGAGCAGTTGTTGAACAAAGAGAAAAAACCTGTGGGAGGACCAGGATTGGGACTTGTGAACTGGTTCTCCCCTCAGCATTTTTGGTGGGAGGCTCTGCCTCTAAGAGACAAGTTCCTTTCCAGGTCTGCAGTCCCCTGGTGTGTGGGACTAACTCTGTGTGTGTGTGTGTGTGTGTGTGTGTGTGTGTGCAGGGGACAAGTTGAAACAGAACAAACTATTCGTCCTCAACATGAAGAAAACCTTAGGACTGGTGATGCTGAAATAAGAACAGGTAGTTTTGGATTTGAATAAATGGGCATCCACTATTTCTATTCTTTAACATTTAAAACTGAATTTACAGCTTTATAGCTCCACATATTTGTAGGTTGGTTTCTGTATACATACATGGATATACAGATTTGGGATCTTGGCCATAAACCTGATCATGATAAGTGAGTTTAGGGGTAACTTTTCCCCCCAAAAGGCTGATGCCCAAGCCATAGCAGCATCTGGTTGTTCTGAAGCATCTGAAGAGACAGTTGTTCTTTTTCCAGGTTGTTTCTTTCCATCCCTACCAAGTTTTCTAATTCAAGTTGTATGAATGACCACATACTTTAGTTTTATTTTGCTATTGTTTAGGCATGTTGTGGTTTAAATCAACCAGGCTGGTTTATTCCCAGATGGCAGAGGCCATGGCGCCATCATTTCCTTACACAGCCTTCCTTTGAGATTTTTCTCTGTGATTCTAGGAGCTTGCCGGTAAAGATCTGTTATGTGTGTATATGAGTATATTCATGCATATGTGTGTGCTTGTGTATATGTGCATATGCCTATGTATATGTTTTATGTATACGATAGTGTGTACATTGATTATTATCATTTTTTAAGCTCACTTAATATACCCACTCCTCGCTTACTAACTGGCTAGGTTTCAAAGACCAGATCATTCTACAAAAATCAGTGTTACGCAAACATGGAGGATGACCACATCATGTCACCTCATCACCTATACTGTGAACAGCCTTCTGGGTCCCTACTGAGACCACCTGCCACCGCTGCCTCTTCTCCCACATGTTGCCTCAAGAGACCTTGGCCCCCACCTCTTCTTTCTAACATCTTTGGTGTCCCCACCTTCACCCTCACTGTATTTTCAAGATGGATGACCCTGGCTCATCCCTTCAACAACCTAAAAATGTTCTTGGTGACTGTCAGGGGCATGGGACAGGTGGGAGGGCCTGGGTGCTATAGGGAGGGATTATAGTGTCTGTAGGGGCCCCCTACTGGCCCCTCTCCCAACCATCCCTAGCTCTTGCTGGACAACCCTGTCTCCCTCTGCCCCCGTCCCCATGAGAATCGACAGTTCGAGACAAGCAGGCCTGGCCTCTGTCCTTGACCTAAAACTGTAGCTGCTGCTGACTACAGACCCATGGACTCCACCTCTAGACTGCCTCACTCTCACCTATGCTGGTTCAGAAGGCAGCATTGAGGACATGTAACAGACCACACAGGTGCCAGTTAGCTGATGTGGAACTTGACTGTCCCATCTCAGGGCTCCTTGACCATGGCCTGGCCAGACCCAGGGGTCTTGCTTTTTCCCTGGATCTGAGGGCTGCCCACTTGCTGAACACTGACTGCTGCTGCCCCAGCCATAGTCCTCTGTAGGCATCTAGGGCCCACCAGGCAGCATCCAGTCACTCTGGCCCCACTCCAGACTCCACTCTGCCTAGCACTTCAGTGGCTCAGGCATCTACTCTCCTCTCCTGGGCAGGCAATGCTTGCCCTTTTCTACATATACACGGGTTCCCACTGGTCAGGACCCCCATCAGAGACCTTGGTGTTTATTATTGCCAGAAGTACCTTGTGAATGCATGGTATAGTCAGCCAGCAGATTTTTGACTGTTGTGAATTTGAAATGTTGAATAAAGTGATAGTCGGTGAGTGAGGAGTAGGTGTAGCGATTTTCTTCTGCTCCCCCATCAATATTAGTAAAACACAGACCCCTTTATTCTCACTTTTCTTTGTTCTAGGCATTTTAAACATACGTTAAAACAGTGACTCAGTTTTACTTTTCAGATGGATTTCTCCTGTTGAGGCAGCCTGCTGGGGCCCATGGACACACCAGATGAATATTACATTACGCCTTTCTCTTTTTTCCAAGTTTCTCCAGAGTCACCTGTAAGAAAAGTTGTGATGGTTAAAAACACGCAAAGCTCAACTGTAACAAACTGTTGTCACCGTGAAAAGCACTGCCATCCAGCATTATTGAAAGGACTGAGGAGAATGCCCGTGGGGCACAGAATCCCTGGGCTGTCAATGAGGTTAGGGGAGCCAGGGGAATCCAAAGATGGTGTGGGTGCATGGGAGCTGGGGTGGGGAACATGGACTTACTTGATGGTGTGGTCAAGATCATACTTGTAGAACCTTGTTGTTGTGATGTATCGTTGAATCAATTCTGACCCATAGCAACCCTGTATAGTGTTTCCAAGGAGCAGCTGGTGAGCTTGAACTGTTGACCTTGCAGTTCAGATGGCTTTGCAGTCTGATGCATTAACCCACAGCATCACACCAGGAGTCCTGTAGAACCTGCAACACGATAATTTTCACTTACATTTTTGTTTCGAAAAAATAACCTCAGCGACACCAGAGATGAAGGCAGAGATGATGACATGGAGAGATAGAGCAGCTGAGAACTCTAGACTCATGGAAAGAGAAAGGCTGTGTGCTGGCCTTTTGTTTGTTTAAATGATTATATGTTTCTGAGTGTCTCAGTATACTTTTATGTACGCCAGAGAAAATAGAAGCAAATACTATTGAATGGAGGGGATTGTAATCATTGCAATGAAACGAAATACGATAGAATGAGTGTAAAACTGACGTTCTCCCATGTAAATTATCACTCAATTCACAATAAAAACAAAAAACCTGTATAAGGAAAATCCAAAAAAGCACAGTTCACTCTTCTGGTGTAGGTTACACTGTCCTTTTCTCATTCATTGCAAGATTTTGTTTCTGTATTGTTCTTCCCATGGAAGTAAGAATCATAATATAAAATTCTGGTGAGTTGTGTCTTTGTCAGAAATACCACCTCCAGAACCCAATCTCAAGTTCTGTGTAAGAAGCAAATTCCCAACATGTAGGCCACAAGAAAGGCACCCAGTGTTCTACTTAGAGCATGGTTCTTGTTAGCATCTCAAAGGCCCTGGACACTGAGAAAAGATGGGAGAGATCTGTCAGACCCAGAGACCACCAGATTCTTGGGATTGACCAGACTGTGGTGAGGGGGCACTGGGAAGAAGTGAGTGGTTAGGTCTAAGCCAGAGATGAAAGCAGGGAGAAGAGATGATCAGATCCCTTCCCATGGAGATTCTCCCATCAAGGCTGATCTGTGCAGAAGGATAGGTCAGGGAGGAGGAGACTGGACAACATGCACAGCCCCAGGTCTCCCCAGCAGCCATCTGCCAGCTTTGGAAGTATTAAGGTGCATTCCCCCCAGCCACCAGCACCATATTTCCTAGAAGCAAAACAAATAGTAACTGGAGAGACCCTGTTAGGCACAGAGAACCCAGTACTGAAAGAAAAAAATGGGAAGTGGAGACAAAGGTGCCACTTGGGAAAGTGTGAATAAGTTCTTCCTGGGCCCCAGAGGAACCCTGCTTGAATGTGGGGAGAAGTAGTGCATGATGTGTCCACTGTGTGCTGCTGATGAGGTGCTGGTGGCTGTGGACTGGTTGAGTCCTGGGGGCAGCATTCACTCGGGAAGTCTGTGCAGCACCCTGCTTTCTTCCACCTTGGTGAGCTTTGCCTATTGCTCTGTGAACCATTGGGGTGTTCATTGGGATCAGAGAGGCTGTCACAGAAACCAATTCGGAAAAGGGAATGGGAGGAGAAGGAAGAAGGGAAAGGATAAAGGGACCACCCATTGGCCTGCATACCTGCGCTCTCATGTGCACACGGGCTTGCACACACACACACACACACACACACACACCTTCTTCAAAGCACTTCACAGCCAGTCACTAAAGTCCCTGCAAAGGTTCTCTCTCCATCAAACTCTGTCCTCCCATTTGGCAGCTTGCAAGTGCTTCCCCATCCCCCATGCCAGCTGAGGAACTCCTACTAAATAGCCCGTTTGGGTGTTTAAGGCTCTGGGGTTGAAGTGTGTGACTCTGTCTTCCTGTCTTTCCTTGCAGTCTCTGAGAGAGAGCTGGTCGAAATGATTGTCTTGTTGGGAATTTGGAACTGAGATTGGGACAGGAATCAGAGGGGATTACTTATTGGAGATTGCTTATTGGAGTGTTCAGTAGGAGAAAGGAGGAGGATAGGGAACAGACAAAACTGAAATTTATTTTGGTTTATGCCCACTTTTTCCAGAACACACAACACCCCATTTAGTCCTATCCCAGCACCAGGCAGTGCTTGCTTAGATAGTTCTGTCCCCCCTCCCCCCCATCTCCCAGTTTTTGAAGAATGTATCTGTTTATGATTTTAGATATTGGGTTCACAGAATATTCTTTTCACGTCTAAGGTTTCAGTTCAGAAATTCCAGAAGACCTGGTCTCACTGATGAGCTTTTCCCCAGGAGTGGTTCCTCTTTCTAACCCTCATTCTCATTACTCATGTTTCTCCCCCTGTTTCTTCCTAGGCACAACTGTGTGTCCTCCATGTGACAACGAGTTGAAATCTGAAGCCATAATTGAACATCTCTGTGCCAGTGAGTTTGGTAAGAAAGTGTTCCTAGTCTCCTGTGAGGTTTGGAATCCCTGTCCCCTGGTCTTTGTCCCTGCTAGACACACACAGCCTCTTTGTGTAGCTTTTTCATCTTTTATATCCATTCTCCCCAAATAACTGCATTTCTCAGGCAGACAGAAAATTTAGGATGGGGAACTGGCCAATATTTATAAAAGTCAGACATCTGGGGGATTTCTGCAGGAGTGGAGGGAGGCAGGCCTGGGGACAGGTCGAGGCGGCCTAGAGGAAAACACCAACTTCTATGCAAATGTTGGAGCTATGAGGACGGATAGCCCCCTCTCACCTGTTTCAGCAGGCGTGTTGGAGCTTTCTCTCTGGATTGGCTCTGTTTTCCATCTACCTCTAGGTGTCAGCACTACTCCACACAGAATCTGAAAAGGCCCAAGAAAAGGCTGACCTCTGAGCTCCTTTCAGGGAGGGGGGATTTCAACCCTTAGGAGATTCAGATGGGGGTCCCCAATCATGTTCTTCCAGACAAGTGGAACCTGCATTCCCACAGTAGCATGATTTCTCGCTTCTTCTCAAGTTGCTTTGGTTGAAACTCAATACAGAATTTGCATTTGCCTCCCTAAGAAAAGGGAGGGCTTACAGATGGCCTGGAGAGAGGATCCCAAGGGATCTTTCTGGGAAGACCTGAATTCTAAGTGTCTGGGAAATTTTTCCTCTGGGAAAAGTCAATGTAAATACTGTCCTGTTGAAGGGTCGACCCCCTTCTCCCTGCCTCTGTTTCACATGGGTGCTCGTCGGGCCCACTTGCGAATAGTAGGTTCAGCCTGAAGTAGAACAATGTGTTTTCGTAATTCCTGCATTGTGCTTTGGAGGTTGAATTTCATACAGAATTCTTATCCGGAAAAGCATAAAGGTAGGTAATGCTGATATTCATGTCTGTCCTGCCTACTCCATATTTTCATTGAGCGAAACATGCTTAAGCATATGGAAGGGCCTTGCACTGATTGACATTTATGAGGGGATTTCAAATGGTTTGTGGGAAAATTTCCATGATCTTTTCATTCCATTTTTCGAGAAACTTTTTGAAACAACTCCCAACCTCTGCCCCATATGTGCATACACACTCAAGCTGAAGGAACTTTTCCTTTATGACAGATGGCATTCTCAGGACATTTGTAATTATAAATCAAGATAGAAATAGGAGATTCAGACCCTTTGCCACAGGCCTGTGTCTTGAAGATAGCTCAAGTCCTACGTGTGTCTCTTTTGTTCTTATTGGAGGACAATAGGACCTCTAGGGGAAACTCGGTCTACTCTACATTTTACTGTTTGTCACATCCTTTCTTGGGTTTGCAAACTCTGATTACCCTACCATCTAACTATGTATAACACTTCCTTCTTGATGTTGGTACTCTTGCTTCATCAGGGTGCCAAAAGCTGGATTAATCCTGATGGGTCTCCGCTTGTAAAATCTATGGACACACAATCCTTGTGGTTACTAGTTGTGGTTGAGCTGTCTCTGATTCCTGGTGAATACTGCCCGGTCCTTTGACATCGTCACAATTGTTAGTATGTGTGAGTCCATTGCTTCAGTCCTTGTGTCTGTCTCTGTCATTGAGGGTTTTCCTTGTTTTTGATGATTTATATGGTGTCCTTTTATAGCAACACAGTGCCTTAGCAATGAACTTTTAATCTTCAAATGGAATTGAGATTCCTTTCCAAAGATACACTTTGATACAGAGAAAACAAGGATGTGTATAAAACCTCAAAGACATACCTTCTGCTACATGCCAAGCCTCACCTCCTCAGATAAGGCAGAGATTCTTAAGGGCTCTTATAAGGGATAAGGGTGCAGCTTATTTAAGATTCATTAATTCTCTTCAGATACTATAAATCAAAAACTCGCTTTGAGAAGTTGAACCCTAGATATTTCAGCAAGTCCAGGAATCATATTTGAATAAACTGTGCAGGGTACGATATTAGCTGATGTTTTATGCTCATATGACTTCTATTATTGAGTTCAGCTCCTAAGGGGGGAAGAGTGATGAAAAATGCTGAACTGTTTGGAGGTGACTGGCAGGTGATGCTTTACTGTTGGAGGATCCAAAATTCAAAGCATTTGATGATTTATGCATTCATGTATTCATTCATTCCACAAATATCATTGAGGCCAAAGCACTACGCCAGGCACCATAATGCAAAAGTTCTAATGTAGGATAAATTTAGTTTTTATAATCCTGACCACATACACATCAGTGATGCCCTAGGGAACTGGGAGTCATTTTATAACTCACAGGCTGCCGAAGGGGCTGTAGGAACTTGGGCCAAAGCTAATATTAAGGAGCTTTGAGAAGTGGATCCATTTCTGCACAGTGTCTTTGGAACTCACCAACTTAAAGTTGCTGTCAAGTCTCCTCCCGACTTCCCCAATTGCCCACCAACATTCTAGGACTTTGTGATAAATCCTTAAATTGGAGACATTCCCAAGTAATTTAGGGACTGAAGAGTCAAGCATTGGGAAGGAATGTGAATGTGACAGGGTTAGCATTTTAGTGTAGGGTTAGGATCTAGAGGGCATGCAGGAAACTCACCTGGGGTTGGTCATCCGTCTCCCACTGAAGTAATACCTAAAATCAAAGCAAATTCATTACTATCAAGTAGATTCTGACTCCATAGGTCAAAGTTGAACTGCTTCGTAGGGTTTTTGAGACTAAATCTCTATGGGAGCAGATAGACTCATCTTTATCCTGAGGAGTGGTTGGTAGGTTTGAACTGCCAGACTTGTGGATAGCAGCTCACCACTTAGCCCACTGTGCCACTAGAGCTCCTTGAAGTAATACTTAATCAGTCACAAAGCCACCTCCTTACTGCTTACAAAGAGGAGGGAAACAAAAAGAAACCCCAAATTAACTGTCAAATTGCTTCCAACTAATGACAACCATACTCCATAGAGCTGTTTCACTGGCTGTCATCTTAAATAAGTATATTGGCAGGCCTTTCCTTTCTCCCCTGATGCTGCTGGGTGGATTTGAACTGTCAAACTTTGGTTAGTAGCTGAGTGTGTTTGCCATTTGCAACACCCAGGGACCTATGGAAAGGAAAGGATGTCTTATCTCAGTGACCAGTCAGGTTTTTCCGATTCTGAGTAATTAATTGCTTGGGACTGTGTTCCTTTAAGCTGAGATTGTATTCTTCTTCGGTTCTTAGGACTTCTGAGTTCTTTCTGGACCTTAGAGGACATCTTCTCAAGTATCCTTACTTGTTAAGTAAGAAAACTGACTTTACCACCTGAAGCTCTTTTGCTCTGGACCAGGTTGCGTCCCTCACTTACAAAAAGATACTTGCCCACTGGGAGCTGGTGTTAAAGTGGTGTTTCCATAGAGTTTCCAAATGGGAGTCGGAGGCATGTGTCTCCATAGCATGTCTGTAGTGTTGAGGGGTGACTAACTTCTTGGATCTGGATGCAGTAGAGACTTGGTGTGTGTGTATATGTGTGTGCGGTATTCTTATAAAACAATAAATAGGAGTTTGTTTCTCTGCAGGGGCTGAGCTGAGCTCTGCCCTTCTCAACACCCTGAAGAATGCAGCCCTGTTGAGAAACTTGTTTCCTAACTTAGTTCAGTTCATGTAAGTGAGGCCAGCAGCCCCGCTGATGGGATTCAGTTAGGAAACAAAGACATTCAACAATCCAAGCTGGCACACACAAGAGAAAAAAAAAGGATGTTTTACTTCCTAATTCAGGGATCAAACTGAGCATTAAGTGGCTCTGACATACCCCCTGGGGAGACGTCAAGCTGCTGGAAGGCCCTCTGAGCTCCAGGAACAAGGTGCATTCCTTGTGGGGTGGCACACACACTTGCCCTCCTGCCAGCACAGCCTCTGTGGAGCTGGGCATGCCCAGTCCATTCCCCTGGCAAGGCATTTTAAACTCTTGACAAGTCTGCTTGGCCACTTGTTTTCTACCCCTGCACTGTACCTCCTCATTCAGAACACATTTTTTTTTCCCCAACAGGGAAAAACATCAGTAGAAACACCTGTGTGCTGATGTTCAGGAATGCAGCTGGATCAGCCTAGATCAAGTACCAGATGTGGGAAGCCAAAAGTTATATGATGCAAATTTTCTGAATTCAACATGGCAACCAGCCTGCCTGCTGGGCTTAAATTAGGATGCTCTGGTCTGGTTTTGTTGCAGTTCATTCTCTCTCTGCTGCTTTCTGAGTGAGATATTCTGGTATAGCTCTATGTGCTGCTCTTGCCGCTTAAAAAGGCAAATTTAGATTTTGTGGGCTTTCATACTGTAATCTTGCTGTTAACAGCTTTGTACCCACAAGTTGCCTTTCCTTCAGGTTCATGTATTCCAGGGATGTGAGGATATGACTTAAAATTGCTATGATGTTAGAATTCCTGCCTTCAGTCACTCTCTCTAACTTCTCCAGTGTCTGTAAACATCCTCAAGCTTTCCCAGGCAGAAACTGACATGATAATATACTTTTGTTAAATTACCATTTACCAGTTACTCTTGAGTCGATTCCAACTCATAGTGACCCCATGATTCTCAGGGTAGAACCATGTTCTATCGAGTTTTCAATGACTGATTTTTCAGAAGCAGGTTGCCAGGCCTTTCTTCTGAGGTACCTCTGACCTTTTAGTTAGCAGCCAAACATGTTAACTGTTTATACCACCAGTTCAGTTCAGAGCATCACGTTGCCCTATATAGCCTCTCCAGTTTTTTTGAGAGTGAGAGCTTAGGAGGCAGCTTCTTCAGTCTGCTGTTTTCTCACTATGGAAAAACATTTCTTTGCCCCCCAGAAATTTTCCTGGATTTCAGGAAGGCATTTTTTTCCCCATTTATATTATTATAAAGAATAAAGCTGTACTTTGCAACACTAAAATTATTCAAATAGGAAATAAAAATCAGCTCTTGGTGTGGTGCTGCCGGGTAATGCGCTGGATTGCAAGGTAGTTTGAACCACAGGTTGGCAGTTCAAACCCACCAGTGAACTGCTCCTCGGAAACCCTATA